AATTTGTTCGTGGTATTAAAATAAGAATTAACTTTAGCAATGTTTTCGTTGATTAAATGTTCGTCGTAAGAGATTTTCAGTAAGGTTTCGTTAAAATTTTTAATTGTCGAAGAGATTATCTGTAGTTGTTGTCTTAGGATTGCGTCAGTCGAAATCTGTTGTCTTTCTAACTGTTCGATACATTCATTGTAGTGTTTCGCATCTTTGGCGTCAGGTGTTCCGATAAGCCATTTTAATATTGAGCTTACACCGTCTATAAGTTCACGTTTACTACGTTTGTTATTTAAGCTACCTGCGGTATAGTAGTTTAATTCGCTTAATCTGGAGTCTATTTTGTTTAAACTGGCTTTGATGAAAGAACTTGTCGTAATTACGCTCGGTAGTGTCGTGTGTCTAGCGACGAGATTTTGATAATTTTGTGTGAGTCTTTTTATAGAATCATGAGTTAAAAATAGTGGTTCTAAGTCTCTATACACTAATAATTTCCACGAATTTTCGGAGATTAGAATTTCTCCGTTTTCTTCAAAATAGAGACCTGATTTTGAAGGTATGGGTAGTATTCGGGTATCCCCTTCAACAAAAGTTGAGGAGTACCTGTAAAGATATATATATATTTTTAAGGTTATTATTTGTATAGTTTTCCTTTAATAAATTTATATATTTTATATAAGATAACGTAAAAGATTAATTTAATGATAGAACATATTACGAAACTAATATATGGATTATTCATTAAACGTTCTAATTTTTTCTTTAGACTATCCTCGTCATATACTACGGGAGAGGTTGTAGGGTGTGCCATGGTTTGCACCCTGAAATAAAATGAATAACTTATATATATATGTATACTCTGACTTACTTTAGTACCTTAACCTAAAATTAAAAGTTATAGTTTTTCGGTAGTTGGTTCACACAATGGCCTTAGGCGATTAGCATGCACCATTTGATTTTTGCCTGACTTTTGTATGACGTAATTCTCATTGAATCCGAGTCGGGTTACGACGTAAGGACCATCCCATTTATTTTCCAAATTGTTTGGATTCGGTACTTTCAACATAACCTTGTCGCCTATACTGAACTTGGCTATATTCCTTATATTACCATCATAACGTTCTTTAGCTTTTTCTTTCATATTTTGTACGTTGCGACGGGCAATATCTCGTGACACCTTAAGTCGTTCGTTAAGATCGCGCAAATAATCATGCGTTGTGTAATCGTTGTTTTCTTTAAACGAATATAATGATCGAGGTTTGTAACCGAATAGTAGTTCGTGAGGTGTGAGACCGGTTGATTGATTAATTGATGTATTATGGCACATAACAGCAAAGGGTATTATTTGATCCCAATTTGATTGATTTCGCTTATGGTACATTCTTATATGGTCACGCAGAGTAGCGTGGAAACGTTCGAGAGCACCGTTCGTCTGCGGATGGTAAGCAGTACTGACAGTATGATTGGATCCGAGTAATTTCATAAGTTGTTTAACGACGCTGTTAACAAACTCGGTGCCTTGGTCTGAATGGAATCTTTTGGGTATGCCGTAGTGTTGACAGAAGGTCAATAATGCTTTAGCTATCGTTGTTGCTTGTTTGTCTATTATAGGATAGGCTTGAACGAATCTAGTCAGATCGTCTTGTAGCGTGAGTATGTATTTATTTGAATCATTGGTTACTTCTGAGTATGACACTAAATCGATTGTTACGCGTTCAAATGGTTCGTTGAAAGAGGAAGTGATAACCATAGGGGCTTTGTAGGTTTTTCTTTGGATTTTACTTCGTTGGCAAACTTGACAATTTTCTATATAATTCTTAATAGTATCGGACATTCCTTTCCAGAAATATTCGGTTCTAATTTTACGCGTAGTTTCTACTATGCCTCTGTGACCTGCTAAGGGGTCATCATGGAAAGTTTTCAGGATCTCGGGAATTTCCTCTGATGTGGGATTTTTAACCTTATTTTCACATATAGTAATCTTACACTCGTATACATCAGCAAGATAAGCTGTGATGTGGAGTTGTTCGTTGCCCTTGAGTTTACAAGTAGGGTCATTTTTTAAGTCAGGAATGTGAAGTGATTTTAAACTGTAATTTTGTAAGCAGTTAAGGAGAATTTTGAAATAACTTTCGGAGTCCCATGAGTCAAAGTGTGTAGGTCTTAAACAACCAAATATGATGTTCTGGTTCTTGTCTGAGACTAGGAGATCGACGTCATAGAGCTCTTTGACTTTATTTAAATATGGATCTACTTGAGAACACATAGAGATAGCTTCGTTAAAAAGGTCGTTTTTATCGGATAGTTCGCATGAAGAGGGTATAAATATGTTTTTGTGACGGTCGTCTAAGAGGCGATCTGAGGAAATATGAAGGTTTGGAGTGTCGAAACTATATGAGGAATTTTGCATGAAGTATTCGTAATTCATTTGTAAATAATCTTCAGAAATGTTTTCGCATGTGTTAGGAGGTTCGTTTTCAGTATTATCGATAACATTGGTGTTATGAATAGGAGGTCGTGAGAGTGCGTCCGCGTTAGTATTGTTTTTACCTGCTTTATAGATAACTTCGTATTCGTATTCTTCAAGTTTAAGGCGCCAGCGAACTAAACGACTGCCTGGGTCTTTAATAGAAAAAAGCCATGTTAGGGGCTTATGGTCAGTCACGATTTTAAACTTTCGACCAAATAGATAAGGTCTAAAATGTTTAACAGCCCAAACAATTGCCAGTAACTCGCGTTCAATTGTCGAATAGTTACTTTCGGCCTTATTAAGAGTACGCGAGGCGTATGCGATAGGTAAGTCTTTACCTATTTCGCCTTGAGATAAGACGGCACCTATTGCGTTAATCGAAGCATCTGTGGTTAGAATAAATTCCTTAGCGAAATCGGGATATTGTAATATAGGAGGATTGGTAAGGAGACGTTTACATTCGTCAAATGAATTTTGTTGGGTCGTACCCCATACGAAAGGCACGTCCTTTTTTAACAGGCTCGTAAGAGGCTTTGTTAGTTTACTGAAGTTAGATATGAATCGACGGTAGTATCCTGTGAGGCCTAGGAACGCTTTAATATCTTTACAAGACTTAGGAATAGGAAAATCTCGAACAACACGTACTTTATCTGGATTCGGTTTGACGCCTTCATTGGATATTATGTGACCCAGATAGGCTACTTCGCGTCTAAGAAATTCGCATTTGTCAGGTTGTACTTTAAGATGATATTTGCGGAGACGAGAGAATACTTCTTGAAGTTTTTGTTCGTGTTCTTGGAGGCTAGAGGCAAAGATAACGATATCGTCGAGATAGACAAAACATCTTTCTCCTTGTAATCCACATAATACAGAGTCCATTACTCGTTGAAACGTAGCTGGGGCGTTTTTTAACCCGAAAGGCATTCGTTTGTATTCGTAATGGCCGTAAGGGGTACTGAAAGCTGTTTTAGAGATGTCATTGGGGTCGACTTCCAGTTGGTGGAATCCTGATGCGAGGTCTAACGTAGTGAAGTATTGGGAGTGTCCTAATTTATCTAGTATGTCCGTAATGTTAGGAAGGGGATAACTATCACCTACTGTGACTTCATTTAATTTACGATAATCTATGACTAAACGCCATTTTTGTTTCCCGGAAGCATCTAATTTCTTAGGTACTACCCAAATAGGGCTACTCCAAGGGGAATTGCTAGGTCTAATGATATCCTGGTCTAGCATGTTCTTTACTTGGGTCTTTATTTCATTTTCGTGAACTTGAGGTAAGCGATATGTTTTGGCATGAATGGGTACGTTAGTGGTAGTAGGGATTTGATGCTTTGTATGGTTACTGAATGACAATGAGTCACCTTCTAGGAAAAATATGTCACTGTATTCGGAAATAATTTTATCTAATGATGTTGACTCTTCTTTATTTAAATGGTCTCGTCTGATAAGGGACAATACTTTCTTTTGTCTGTCGGTCTGCGATATCGAGTTAAAATTATGAAGTGGTTGACTATTGTTATTTTTTGTTAATTCGTCAATGTTAATAGGCTGGACTTCGATATTTGGTGTTTTAATGACTTTGTCGGAATTATTAGTGTTTATACAAGTAATTGAAAATGTATTGTTTCGAACGTTGACTATAGCGTGAGGAATAATAACGCCATTGCTTATAGTTTGTTTTTCGACTATTGCTGTCCCAGAGTTGATACTATTTGTGTTACACGTAATTACGGTTTCTGTTCGACTACTAATTATTCGTTTATCAGTGATGGTATTATTTTCAGGATGTTCGTCAATATAATGAAGTTTATACGATTTACTGCCTATTCTCATCGTTTTGGATTGAATAAAAATGTTACAATTAAATTTAGTCATGAAGTCGTTTCCCAGAATACCGTCTGCTTTTATATTAAGGTTGGCGACGTGGAATTTGAATTCAGGTAAATGATCTAGGGATATGTTGGCAGTTCCCGATGTGATTGTCGAAGTTTGGGTGCTAGAGATACCTACAATTGACACGATGTTGGATTTATCCAAAGCAATTGAACCTATTTTATCGTCTCTGATAACTGAGATTCCTGCTCCCGTGTCTATTAAGAGAGTGACGGGTGTTTCTTTAATGAAAAAAGTACAGTGTAGTAGATTTTCAGGTGGCACGTCATTTAATGCAGATATAGCGAACGATTTGATATGAGTTTTTCTTTTCAAGGATTTAGATTTGTCTTTTGACCTAGATTTTGATTTGCGACTGGATTTAGTGAATATTGTAGATTTAGAATTATCGATACTAGTGGATTTAGGATTTTGTGTAAAGCCTAGGGTTTGGGGCTGGTTACCCTGTCCGTTAGTTTCGGCTATAATGATTTCGTGAGTTTGAGTAGATATGGAAGATTTAGAATTCGAATTTTGATGAATATGATGAAAGTTAGGAAGTTTACTCGTTTGCGTACTAGCGTCACAAAATCGTTTTTGATAACAGGACATGTTCCGTACCTGATTATTTTTTACTATGGAGCTAGTACTAGCCGGTCCCCGATGGACTGAATGCGGCGTATAAGCGTTAAACTTCCTTGAAATTTGATTATTTTCTAAGAATCTATTTGTAGGTCCTCCAGGTTTAATTCCTGGGTCGATGTCTGTGTTTGATGAGGTGAGCAAGACGTTAAAGCGGTTTCCACCGAACTGCTCGCTTCGCTGGCCGCTAAATGGTTTAAATTATTTATTTTAGCGGCAGGTAATGCACGGAAATTTTGTTGGGGCGATATGTTCTGTTCTTGTAACGAGTTTCTGATATTATTATTATATGCTCGTTTCCTACAATCGGCGATGAGGTGGCCTGGTTTCTTACAGTAATTGCAAATAACGTTTTGATATGATGGCGTTTTTGATGTATTCTGTTGGTATATATTAGGAGGTCGCGTCATCGATCGATTGTCAATCGTAAATTTTACGTGCGGTCTAGGACTATTAACAGTCCTACTAGCGGCTGATACTCTAAATAGTGCCTGCCTAGCATTATTCATTGCTCGAATTTTGTCTTCCTGTAGCGCGAAACGACCTGCGTCGGAGAGATTACTAAAGTTTTTAGTTCTCAGCATTGCTCCTACGTCTGAATTAATTCCGTTGATAAATACCGATAAGGCGGTTTCTTCTGTGGTCGCTAACCGACCTGCGAGCGTCTCATCTAAAATTTCCGCTGTTAGTTTTTCTACGATTTTACTCCTACAGAGGTCTACCCGGTGAAAATATTCAGTCATTGTTTCGTTTGGTTTTTGGAACATAGACTGTAGTTCTAGGCTTAGATGGCTAATCGTTTTTACATGCGAGAATTTTTCGATAAGGAACGATCTGAGCTCAATCCATGTTTTGTATTGTTTACAATGGACATCGGAGGCACCTGAGCCAGTGATGTTATTTAAAACGTATACTAAGAGGATTGATTCTTGTTCTAAAGAGGCTAAAGCAAAGGCAGAATTGCAAGATCGAACAAATCTATATAGTTGGTTATTTTCTTTGGTGTCAAACGTCGGAATTAATTTTAATAATGTAGAGATATCTAGAGCCATTCTTTCGTTTTTTATTTCTAGTGGCATTAGAAAGGTATATAGGAAAGAAAAGAAAAATAAATATATATATAAAAAGAATTAGGATAGATGCGATTTAAAGGATTTAGAGAGCGAACAAATTCAAACCACTCACCATAACAATACAAGTATTTGGAGCTGCATGTTCGGCGAAGTGTTTCAAAAGCCTGTAGCTACCGCGCGTTGCTCTGCTGGGCGATGCTGTCCCGATGATCAACTGCACGTTGCACTTCGTCTTATGCGAGATCCTACCGACTGCGCCAAATTTGTTACGTGGCGAATGATAAGATTTGTTTTTTAAAAACTAGCTTTATTACTTTACACAGAAATAGTACAATTAGATGTTTACAATATGAATTCGGAAATGGAACTGTTCTCGAACTGATTTGAGGCAGTATTTATATAAGGTGAGTTTATCGGAGAGGGGTTCTCGACTAATGATAACATGATGCTCATGGTACACAATTGCGAATACAGATAAATATTACTCATCAGCTAATGGTATTGTAACAAAGGCTAATGGTGTATGATTTCATGACAGTGGTATTTTATCAGAGAGGAGCTTTTGGCAAAGGCTTCTTAGTTAGCGATTACATTGTACTTACAAATACAAATAGACATTCCAAAATATAGATAAACATTACAGATATTACTTATCGTAACAAAGACTTGTTAGTCATTACTTATCAACTATCAATATATTACTTATCAACTAGCATTTTAGCAAAAGACTTATTAGTCACAACATAACAGTCATAGCACAACATATTAGTCATAACATAACAGTCATTACATAACACATCCCTTCCTTTTTTTGGCTGTCAAAAGGCAACTAAGGGAACTTAATTTTCGAGGAATGGGCAGCAGCATCCCATTTAAAACATCACCAAAGTCTAACCACCGTTGCCAATTTGTATACCAAACGTAGTCACTACAGACAAAGCAGTGGACAGACAGACAACGGCTGAAATGGTGTTGTTGATATTAATTTTATTAATTATCCCCCCCCCCCCGATTTATGACGGTCTATGGGGGAGGCTTATGTCCAGCAATGGATGGATAATGGCTGAAATGCTGATGATGAGAATGATCTCCCATGTTCAGACATCGTTTAGTTACAATCACTATATAATATACAAAGTCGCTTCTCGCTGTCTGTTTCTATGTATGCTTAGATCTTTAAAACTATGCAACGGATTTTGATGCGGTTTTAATAGATAGAGTGATTCAAGAGGAAGATTTATATGTATAATACATGCATAATATAGTAGAGAATGATATTTTTAGAGGTTTCTAATGTGATGTCGTAAATAAGCACATTTTTTAGCATTTGACCCGTACAAAGCCGGGGCGGTTCGTTAGTTTTATTTATTTATTTAGGATCACCAACATAAGATACAGCGAAACATTTCGATACAATACAATACACTTAGATCTAACTGTTCTTACATTTAGAAGCAACCACAGCATGCCTTGCGTTTGAAAAATATTATTTACACATACATACATACATATCTGTCACGCCTGTCTCCCATTAGGGTAGGCAGAAACAATGGAACGCCAAATGCTTAGATTCAAACAAACCTCTTTCGCTTCTTCCACATTCATCAATCTTTTCATACACGCTCACTTATTTACACATTTTACAATATAGTAAGGTAAGAAGATAACTACAGCATGGGGTTCTTCAAAAGGGGGGTAAAGAGGTTTCTTCAGGGTCGGCAACGCGCGCGTAATACCTCTGGTATTGCAGGCGTTCATAGGCTACGGTAACCGCTTACCATCAGGTGGGCCGTATGCTTGTTTGCCACCTCAGTGGTATAAAAAAAAAAAAAAATATAAGATGCATGAATTAGTTGCACCGATAAGAGAAAACTCCTAAATGAAAAAAGAAGATAAGAATAAGAGTAAATTAATATAATTTAAAATTGTTTTCCACAAAAAAAAAACACACTAGAATTGTAACAAAATCAGTTACTTCAATTTAAAAGCTAACCTACTGAACCGATTTTGATAAAGAATCTTTTTTTTATACAACTTAGAATGGCAAACAAGCTGACGGCCCACCTGATGGAAAGTGGTAACCGTCGCCTATAGACATGAGCAATATCATGGACATAACAGAGTATACTAATTCGCCCATACGTTGCCATTCCTGAGGACTCAGGTGTTATTTCTCTGTACCCAGTAAATTCACGTCAAATCCCACCCTTCAAACCGAAACACAGCCATGCAAACACAACTGCTTTACGATTCAAATACGAGTGGGACAGAGGTACCCAAGCAATCGACTTTTGTACAAAGTCTCCCTCTGGTAATCTGGTAATCTAATCTGATCTACCAGACCAATCTGTAAATACATAATTTAAGATAAAAATAGAATTCTCCAAATCGGTTTACAACTGTCGCAGTTATGTGTGGTCGTAATGGCGAAAAAAAAGCCTAAAATGAACTAAAAGTACTAAAATTCTCGCTGCTTTTTTGGTGTGCGACCGCATGAGATTTGTTGGATACTACATTTGACCGCAAACACTCTGCGGGATGCCATTCCTGCCTCACCTGGCCTACCGCATTTCAGATATATGGGATTTATCTTGCGTTGCCCTTACATAACCTGTATATTTTCAACCTACATCAAAAATGTGGAAGTTGATGACAGAGGGAAACTTTGTACAAAAGTCGATTGCTTGGGTACCTCTGTCCTATTCGTGTTTCTACCGTGAAGCTGTTGTGTTTGCATGGCAATGTTTCGGTTTGAAGGGTGGGATATGGCGTGAATTTACTGGGTACAGAGGAATAACACCTGAGTCCTCAGGAATGGCAACGCATGGGGTGTATCATGGGCGAAACAGTATACTCTGGTATGTCCATGGTACTGCTCATGTCTATAGGCGACGGTTACCACTTTCCATCAGGTGGGCCGTCAGCTTGTTTGTCATTCGAAGTTGTACAAAAAAAAATAGCCATTTGTACTCAAACATAATCACGAGATACTATCAACATTTACGAAAAATAAAATATTTCCACAAAAATTACTATACATTAAAGTCACAACCTTAGGTTATATAGATAGAGCATCGAGCCCCAAAAACGGGTCAACTTTTTGTCATCTAGTTGTCAAATTAGCTGACTCGTTTTTTATCAGTTTTCTATATACTTACGCATACGATGTATCTTGACGTATCTATATTTCATTATTTAATAAATAAAATGAGTTTTTACGCAATAAAAAGATGCATAAATTATAAGACGAAATAAATATACAAATTATAAAGGAATCACTCATAATTATTTATCACACAAAATTGTATGAAAAAGTTGACCCGATTTTCTCGAAGCCTTTGTATGGATACACTCTATCTATATAATCTAAGATTGCTAGCGACAGCGAAATTTAATTGGCAAATTATACTTAAGTGTTTTACAGAGAAATATATTTTCATCGAATTATTCTGTCACAATACATACAAACTACAAATCTTTGGACACAATCAAAGATAATTTTAAAGCCATCATTACGTAGATAAACATCGAATAGACGTTCACACAGTCTTGTATCTCATTTATACGAGGGCATTCAGAGCGAGATAACACTCATTTGTACATTCAAAGACTCCATTCACCATAAACAACCCATTCTTTGAGATGTTCTCCTTGGTTTGTTACAAATACACTACAGACCCTTAATGTCATTAAAGCATTAAAAATAAGGATGAAAATCGAATGGATTTTGAATTTTGAAACTGCAAATATAACTTTGTATTTGTCATAAGTACTATACTTTTGAATAGGCAGCATATAGATCTTATTGTGTGAGCTAAAAGAGCCAAATTCGAATAAATTTTTCGGAGGGAACGGTAAGAAAATTTCGAAAAAGGAACACGTGCGCCATACGACCCACTTCGTTCAGAAACGTATGCAAATCCCTTTGTTGTCTGCATCGTGTTGCGTCAGTGTAACGGGAACGGGCCACGGTTTTCGAAGACTTTATGGTCGGCTCACAGGGTATGGATGTATGTAGTATTTCCTTCGCCTCAGTTGAATAGAAAAGAAAATAAGAAAATGCGAGCTTTTATTATATAAAAATAAAATGAGCACATAATCGCAACGTTTTAGACTTAATATGCTTACATAACAGGTTTAAGTAGGATATAAAAAGAAAATAAAAGCGATTAAAATATTATCAGACAGTAATTAGAGGATGAGAAGAAATAAAATTGGCGGGAAAGTAGAATTTAGAGAAATTTGAATTTCTAAATCTAGGTTACCAATTTTAAGAAGACTCTTTCAAATTTATAGATCAAGTAAACTTATATAAGTAAAAATAAATGTGCATAATTTGAATTATAGACATAAAAATAAGTGATATTAAAAAATAAATATTAATATATTAGGTACCTATAAAAAAATGTTTGAAATGAAATAAATTTACTAATTAATTAATTATTGTCAACGAATTAGGATTGAAATTTATTTATAAATAAATATGGAAATCTAATTCATTGTACCGACCACAATAAAGACAACACCCCCAACTGCCGTTAGGAAATGAAAATGATAAAGGGTTAGATTCAAACAGCTCTTTCGCTTACTCTACATCCATCAATCTATTCATACAAATTTACAACAAAAGAAAAAAAAGTAAATTAATATTTTTATATTAAGTATATAACTTATATATTGTTGTCTAGATTAAAAAAAAAAAGAAACAGACGAAAAATTATACTAACACTGGCCGAAATTTTAAAAATGTCAACATTTGTCCCGCGTTCTTTTCAAACAAAGAAAGAATAAATCAAGCCAAAACCATTCCACCGTGACACCCCCCACCACGGCCTCTCTCACAAAAAAGTACGCACCTATAAACATACAAAGAATGTTGAGAGATCAAGTTACGCTGGTCCCCATCGTTCTACATCTGTTGCTACACCACCAAAAATGGTTGGTACAACAAATTACCATACATTCTAATTTAAATCTTATTTGTATAGCACTAAACGTCACTTAATAGCACGTGCATAGATTTGTGACAGTAATTGTGAGTTTGTAAGACGCGGAGTGTTTAGCAGTCTGACATTTACCCTTTTCCGACAGAAGCCTCCATGCTAGTGGGTTTTTAATTAGAGCAGAGACAAGATGTTTAATTTTCTTTGTTCGACGCCGTGATTGCGTAGTCTATGGATATAACACAGATTTATAACACACGTCAAGCTGAAGGAAATTAATGTAGGAAACCACATGTGCTCTGCAGACAACTATTGTCCGTTCTTCGCCAACAAAATATATTTTGGACTATTTTCAGATATTAATAATATTCGAAGTGAAATACATTCATTTACTTTAAATGAAACAAATTACCTGACTAGACGTATAAATCTAATAACTTAATTAAATTAAGGCTATTTAAAGGCTGAATGTAATATTTTATGCTTAGGAAATAATGAATCTATATATCCCTGTAGTTTTTTAAAAAAAAAAAAAACAAGAATGATAAATGTAAGTGGTGATGTAATAAAATACAATATAAATACGCCGTCGCTCCTTTTATGTACAGTGAGTGTAGAAAGTATTCGTACACCTAGGGTTGTAATAAAAAAAATACGAATTTGATAGACTTTCTTTTATTTATCTAATTTAAATCAATACTATTAAATATTTTAACATTCCCGCACTTAGTTTATGATAATTTTTGTTTTTTAATAAAAAAATTATACAACATAAAAATATTTTTACGTTAACTAAGCAAATAATGACAAACAAAAAGTATTCGTACACTTATAAAATTTGTAAGTAAATGAATATTAAAAAAATATTAATACTTTGTTGGACCACCGTTAGCATTGATGATAGCTTGGAGTCTCTGCGGCATCGAATCAACTAGTTTGAAAATATAAGAAGACGGTATCAATGCCCATTCTTCGCGAAGCGCAATTTTTAGTGTTTCTTTACTCGAAATTGGTCGATTTCGAATTTTATTATCGAGATAATCCCACACATGCTCTATAATATTAATATCAGGTTATTGAGGAGGAATCTCTAGGTATTTTGGAGCGTTAAACAGGATCCATGCTTTAATATTCCATGCTTTATGTTTAGGGTCATTATCTTGTAAAAATATCCAATTATTGTTAAAACCCATTTGAGCTGCACTAAAGAGAAGATTCTCTTTTAAAATATTAATATACGTTTTGTGATCCCTAATTCATCAATAAATGCAAGTTTTCCCACCCCAAAAGCACTCATGCAACCCCATACAAATACTGACCCACCACCGTGTTTTACCGTTGGACATAAATTTTCTTTCTTATATTCCATATTAGGTTTTCTCCATACCATATGATGTCCATCCGATTTGAAAATATTATATTTCGATTCATCTGAGTAAATAACAGTTTGCCAAAAATGATTTTTTTCATTAATATATTTTTTTGCGAATTCTAATCTTTTTTTTCTATTAATATCATTTACCCAATACTTTTTACGCGCAGTTCTTCCATAATAATCGTTACTACGTAATACGTTCCGAACGGTACTGACAGAAATATGGCAATCATTGATATTATTAATTTCTTGTAACACTCGAGCGGCACTAATTTTTGGATTTTTTTTTACACAATTTAAAATTTTCCGATCCAATCGAGGCGTGATTTTTGATGGACGCCCCACCTCTGGGTTTGTTTTTTAGTGTTTTAGTACCTATATTTTTTTTTTTAAAAACAAAAATTATCATAAACAAAGTGCGGGAATGTTAAACTATTTAACAGTATTGATTTAAATTAAATAAATAGAGGAAAGTCTATCAAATTCGTATTTTTTTTATTATAACCCTAGGTGTACGAATACTTTTTACACTCACTGTATGTATTAAACTGTATTACTTCGAATAAGTAATCCTTTGTATGATATCTATGCAAGCAGTTCATTGTATTTAAAAAAATCACAGTATAAGAAACGTATCCAGATCTTCTATTATTCTTCTGTGATAAAGTTTGTAAATAGTTGTAACTATCACGTTGGTTACATAGTTGATTTTCCTGTTTTGTTAAAATAAAGGTGTGGCCGACTCTTAAGTAATATAATTATGTACATACTAACTAAGTGATCCACAAAACGTTATTTTAACCCCCACTACCCCCCACCAACCGGTTCTAATCTTTCTTGTTGAATATAAACTTTAATTTATTAACTTTTTAATAGATGATAATGGAATAGCAACCCCACCCGCGCTTACGGTATACACTGGCAGAGCACTAGAGAAGGATGACAGGCGAGTATGAAAAGGCAAGTCAGTTAGCCTATTGTGATGAATACACCTGGAATTTAGCACGACGGCTTCCAAGGAGGACCACGTGGAGATAGACCTGACAGGGCATATTGCTAGCAATGGAGCTGATAGTTCGTTTTACAACAATCCCTTACCCCCACCAGTACCACTTTTTCTTATCGGATATAAAATTTATTCTATTAAGTTGGAGCAGACATTTACAAAGTTTTTTTTTTTTTAAATCGGTTGAGCACTTTCGGAGATTAGCGTGAACGGACATCGTGACACGGGACTTTTACATATTAAGATGTGTACGTATATGAACACGTATCGTGCAATCTTATTTTTGGTGTACGAACTTGATGCCTTTCTGCCTAACCCTAATGGGAGACAAGCATAAGAGAAATGTATGTATGTATGAACTTTAAAATCTTCCAACTTAATCACCTTATGGATTAGATAGGTCGTATACTTAGCTTCAATTTCGTTCTTTTTTGGTCTCGATACGACCATTTTTCGCTGAGCTATCGGACTTTGAATGAAAATAGATCATTTTCTCTTTGTTCATCAATATCTCCGAAACCAATGGTTACACAGAAATCCATGGCGAAAACCGTTCATTATCATGGGTCGTTATTCGAGACACATGTGTCAGAGGGGAAAGGGATTATTAGTAATGAGTATTTGACAAGTCTATTGTCCTACCAGGTCGACCTCCACGCAGTTCCCCATGGGAACCATCTTGGTTAATTCTTTTCGAATTCATCGTGATGGACTAACTGACCTGCTTTCACTCTCACCTATCTTCACGCACTGCTGCCCCGCCAGCGTACACCGATAGCGCAGACGGGGTTACCATTCCATTATCACGCATTGACATGTTTGTCAAATTGTCTAAATGATTAAGCAACTCGAAATTGGTCTCTCAACAAAGTCATCCATAAAAAAATTACCATAACAATTTCGTATTTATTTTACCTTGACGAAGCGGATATCCTATAAGTCATGGAGCACCGTTGATTGCTTCAAACTAGCTTATGTTATAAACACAATTCATTAAATGGCCAAAGGAAACACATCAAACAGCCAAGGTGGCCCTCAATCCCCATTGATCCATAAACTGGGCCTTGTTTGCTTACGGTGATATCATCCCAAACAATGTGAAACATTATACCATATCTATAGCCATATAAATTAGGTGGATTAAGGTAGATTACAGCTTTATAGTGGGCAATAGCTAATTTGAATGTACTCGTAGCAACGGAGTATTGGAATTTGGAATACGCATTCTTGTTAAAAATGAAATAGATAAAGGAAATTTAAATTTACGATACAATAGTTTTTTTTTTTTTATACCACAAAGGTAGCAAAACCATATACATTATATTATCCAAAAATGTGCTAAGATAAAAGTAATTGAAAATATTATAAAAGATATATTGAAACTCACTTAATTATGAAGTAATAACGTCCAAAGATGAGTAAATATCTGAAAGAAAGAAAAAAAAAATATTAATACATATACCAAAAAGAATAAAGTACTTAGAATAATATAAAAAGAAATGTAAGATCTCTTCCTAGTATCATATAAATATTTATTATTTGTTTACCAGAGGGAGACTTTGTACAAAAGTCGTTTGCTTGGGCACCTCTGTTCCATTCGTGTTTCAACTGTGAAGCAGTTGTGTTTGCATGGCTGTGTTTCGGTTTGAAGGGTGGGATATAGCAGTGAATTTACAGAGTACAGAAGAATAACACCTTGGTCCTCAGGAATGGCAACGCGTGGGGGGTATCATGGACAAAACAGTATACTCTGTTGTGTCCATGGTAGACTTTAGCTTTGAGATCATAATAGACTTTAGCGGTTATTTTTACATTAAATTTAAACACGTTCGACCACAATCTCATCTGACGATTCATTACTAATAATCCCTTCCCCCCCCCCCCCCAATTTAACGTACTAGGTAGCCATTTCGAGTAGGTACTGCTATTTATTAAGTGCCCTTTTACGTGATAGATGTTTGTGAAAATCAGAGGTACTGTAACTCGAGATTTTCAGGCGCCATGTTACAAGGGTCGGCGTAAATTATAACTCTTGTCTTGCAAGCGTAAGTAGCTCCAGTGATCATCAGTGTTGCCAGATCGGGTCTTTTCGGAATTTTGAGTAAAAATTGTTGTATATGTATTCGATGTTTGTCGCTTAATGTTGAGATAGGAACTCTTTGGTTATTTTTTCTTCTCTTTTATAATTTTTTATTCTATTCTACTCTACACACGATTTTGTCGGAGAATTAACAATTTTTTTTATAGTTTTGGTGATAGTTATCACGAAATGAAGATGGGCTTTTTTTTATCGTTCGCATAGTGATAATGAAATCCGCACAAATTCTTGATTGGGTAACAGCAAATGAAACTGGCAAAAAAGAATAAAAAATTTGCAACATTTGTATAGGTAAAAATAAAAAAAATCGCATCCGACGACACTGTTGGTGATAACGACACGCTTACCAGACTGGCCGTATACTTGATTGCCATCTTCGGTCTGAAAAGAGTCTAGCTGAAATCTAATATCTCGCCTATTCGTGCAGACCTAAATTCTCTCTATACAATGATTCAGAACCGGTGCAAATCAGTTCAAACCAGTTCAATTAGACGTGGCTGTAAAGAGGCCAACTCTGTGAGTTCATGCCTAAATTTTTAGCTACTAAATAGACAAATAATTTGTGGATTTTAGAAGTTAGAACATATATAACTCGAGAGATTCTTTTAACTAATTGCTGGTAATTTGTTTAACATTGACTTTGTTACATGACAGAGGTGAAACTATTTCTATATATGGTAAAAGAAGCAATATAGCTGATAATAATTGTATACAATAGATATATTTGTATCAATTATAATAAAAATTAGTCCATGTGTGGTCCCGGTATAGAATGAGCTACCCTTTCCTTTCCCGTAACACCTTAGCCCACAGGAATGACAACGAATGGGTATCATAGGCACAGTATAGTCCACGGTACTGTTCATGTCTTTAGGCGACGTTACCGCTTTCCGTCAAATGGGCCGTCAACTTATGTACCATTACAAGTTACATAAAAAAGTCTACCGTCGGGTTCGGTGGGAATGTTCTTATCTATTGAGAAGTATCCGCTTAAAAAATACATCACAGAATACACTGTGATGCCCACGGTACCCATGCGTTGCCATTCCTGAGGACTACGGTGTTATACCTCCTCACCCTGCAATTTCCCATCACACAATTACGTACATTTTGCATACGATACTGTGTTATGGTAAAATCATAAAACAGCTCACGAAGTTGAAGTCAAGATGAGTCAGTCTTCGACAGCTATGAATTAAGTCATATGTACCTAAAACGGGTAGACAAGACACGTCGTGTTGAAATTCGTCTGTACGTCACATCTCGTCTAACCATATATGTAAGTGCTAGCATTTACCCGCGACTTTGTCTGTCGAGGATATATTTACTGACTGAACAAATGTCTTTTTGAAAAATAATAATAACGATTATATTTCTGTGTAGTTCAGGCATAGAAAACATCGTGAACAATTCTTGTTGAATTCGTCACGATGGGCTAACTGACCTGCTTCATCCTCACCTATCATCCTTCACTGGTACCCCGCCGGTGTATACCGATAGCACGGGTGGGGTCACTATTTCATTATCACCTACAAAAACAAAAACAGTGGACAATTAATGACTGAAATAATAATAAAAAAAATAAAAATAAAAAATTATTTCCTAGCATTATTATAAATTTTTTGAAGACGTCGTTGCTTGTCTTTCACATTAAAACTACTGGACGTATTTTTTTTTATGCGTGAAAATGGTATGGTAAACCCCGCCTGTGTTATCGGTATACGCTGGCGGAGCACCAGTGTAGGGTGATAGATGAGAATGAAAACAGGCCAGTTAGCCCATCATGATGAATTCATCAGGAATCAACCATGATAGAACCAGGGGAAACCGGGAGGAGGTTGACCTGGTTGGGTATATTGCTAGCAATGAGATTCTCAGTCTCCATTACTAACAATCCCTTTCTCCCCGACACAGTAGGTATTGCACAATAATATAGCGATCAATAACTATTCTCGACTACTATTAGTCATTCCATACGTCACACATACATAGTTAGAGGATAAAGGAAAATAGAGATCTTTTTGTTT